GCTGACAGCGCGAGCGCGCTGTAAAATAATCTCAACGGTGAAAGATCGATTTTCCCCGCGAGCATTCTTACTCGCTCCTATTCTTAGAAATGTGTCTCGAGAGGAATTATTTTTTCACCAACAATCGCAAACGGTACTTTTCCATGACGATACGCACGCCGATAATCGCTTTTCTCATGCAAAAAATACGTCTGCGTGCAATTTGCATTGCGGAGGTAGCAGTTGTTTACTTTATTATCGCGTTTGCAAAATTTAATTGTAAATTCGCTAGAATTTTACGTGAAAAACGCGGTGTGGAGGGAAAAAGTTTTTAATCTTGCACCTGAGTTTAACGGAGATATTTATGCACGTTGTATGCCATGGAAAGTTATGCCGGCATAAACAACGCTGATAAAGGTAGAACGCAGCTTTTACCTGGATTTTAATCTTCAGCGTGCTTAGAATGTAATTTCCCGCAAATAACGCTTTCCCACTCAATAATTCACGCGGTCGCGATATTTTTCGAGATACTGGCTTAGGAGTTTATCCACTCGGCGGTTAAGTATAATTAGGATTTACAGCGAGGAAGTAACAAATCATACGTTTTAATTATTATAATGTATGTGCGTTACGGCACTATAGCTCGCATACAGCGGCGCTAATTAATAATTAATGGTGTAACACATGTTACTTGTGAGGAGTATGCCACAGTACACCTACGTTAATTAGGCACTTGTGCAGTTGCATATTGTATACGGTCTTTAGCGCGTATGCTATTTTCTTTTCAAATGTAGCGCGGAAGTTAATTTGCATTAATTCGAAGTTGCCACCCGCCACGCCACGTTCAACATCTTAAATCTTCCTTTTTTCCCGGAAGCTAATTCAATCCCGACTCGCAAACCACACATTTCCTTCTATCTTTATGCAAATCCGTTCCAAAATGCCCCCTCGCGTTTCCAGAATTCGAATGACTGTTGCATAGCAACATATGTCTTTTGCATTGACCTAAATTCAAATTTCCAAATACGTCGAAATGCAAGATGTATCTGAAAATAGGCAACGTTTCATAGAATATTCGTGGTTCGCGAATAAAACTGCAAGAGCTGCTTACATAAAATTGCTTTTACCGGAATATTTAATTTTTATTATCAAAATTGTACGCCAGGAATTTATACGGTCTTTCCGCTTTAATATCTCGTTAAACATTGTCGGTAACTAAGTGTAACCCGGTGTAAAATCGGTATAAAAGTGGAAACTCGCGACAAATTAAACGTGGAAGACGATCTGAGAGATAATGGTAACCATGGTGCTCGCCTACTTACCTTTTTAGGTCGCGGCAGATCGATAGAACGCTTCCCACTCGGTGGAAAACATTGCGACGTTTCCGATGACGTGGATAAATTTCGGTTCGCGAACTCCCCCAGTCACTCGGCAGGTTTAGCCGACGTATACCGGAATCGCACTACATGCCGGCGCGAGAAGCGTAAACGCTCGCGAATACCGGCGTCGGATGTTGCGCAACGTTTTCGATATGCTGCGTACGAGATAGGCGCCATCAATGTGCGCGCGCTTTTGCAAATAATTACGCTTGTAATGGTAGGTTGACGTTACACTTCCGCTAATACCGGATGATGCAATGAGCGAATAAAAGGAGCTGCTGCGCAATAGTCCGGCGCTCGCGGATCGATTTTCGAGAACGATGACGGAAGTGCGAATTAATTGTTGAAAAATTTAATATTCGACGCCAGATTTTATCTTGATAAATTCACGCCGGGACTCATTTCGGCAAGCACGAAAGCACAATTGCGACATTTTAACATGAGATAATAATAACTATAGCAATGTTGAATAAACACTGCCATAGTTACCAGTGCCACGTCTATAAATGTCTCTGTGAAGCTTTCTACTGCAACTGTAAAATGAGAAACTTTTAGACTTCAAAAAGCATTTGCGTCTAAAAGTAATTCAGTAAATTTGTTGCCATTGGCTCCCCTCGTAAGTTTCAATAACTGTGTCTTCAAGTACTACTTTCTTATGCTCGATAATAAAGACCTCAAGGAGACGTTTGTTATAGCGATAATAAATCTAAAAATGAGGACAGCTCATGCCATGCTGCCGGTCTACGAGTTATAACGACGAGTGTCGTGCGTCTGTGTGCACGCATAACATTTCCCTTCATCCACTTCCTACAACTTTCAAGATGATATTACTCGCTCGCATTTCAAAGCGTCGGTATTCCAGCCATTATTGGAAAACTTGTGTTATCAAAAGAAAACCGTAGATGAAGATATTCAAGAAAGTGGGCTAAGTAATGAACGGGAAACCTCAAAAAGATAGCTCGACGTTTCGCAACGCAAGTCTGCGCCGCGGGTTGATTGTAACACTGAAATTCAACTGCATTCGTCGCGTGCACTATAATTACTTCCACTTGGCTCCAATATGTCCGACTACCGTGCAAATTGTCGCGAACATGCCGCTGGAAATACGGGATACGCATCAATTACTAGCAGTCTAATCCCGGCGAGTAATTACGGCACGCATATTCGCGGCGACATCGACGCAGGATACTCGCTAATCCCGTGGGTTATTGCAAATTTAGCGAAAAGCGAACGCGCAAGGGAGATTTCGGTACGCGAAGTTAGATGCAACAAGTACAGCGGCGGCGTTACATCCGAGAACGCTTTACTTCGCCACGTAGCCACGAGCACTTCATCGAGAGAGAGAAAGAGAGGGAGAGAGTGGTTGAAATTTTTGGTGTAAGTGTCAAAGGGATTATCCCGATAACTTGATAATACGAGAAATAAACGAGTGAAAGACGACCGCGGCGCGGAGCGGCGAGCATAATTTTGCGAACCGTGCAGATGCAATTACGAAACATTGCGTCACGATGATTCACTCGGCGTGGCGTTTTCCACGCCGTTGGGAAATCTTGCTCAATTTACACAACACAGGACACGATTGTTTAAGCGAGTAGCAAATGAATTTACGTTAGGCTCCTAATCACTATTCATTAGTTCTCTTCCAGCGCTTCTTCTTCAGTTTCGCGTTTCATTACGTTAATTACAAAACCGTGAGCCGACGCACGGAGTGTGACACGATGTGAAAAAACAGGCTGTATTAACACATCGTTAAACGTAACTCAATTTTCTGTCCGTCAGTTTAATTAATTAGGCGCGATTACGCGCCTCCGAATTCCTGCGAGTTCGACTTTAACGACTCGATGCATGCCGATCTGCGCTGTAAAAATCTCACTCGGCTGAAAATCACGTTATCAATGAATACTGGTCACATACTGCATATATTTGTTCGCATCGATACGTAGGAGAGACATCATCCCGGGAGTAAAAGGGCAAAGGAGGAGGGGATGAGTCAAGCCGATATATCGATCCGCGCAGTCCTCTTTCGAACACCTTTTTCAGCGGAAACAAAGCATTTCCAAAATTTCGATCCGAAGTCGCTGGCTCCGGTCGAGCTATTCTTTTTCGCGAAACAAATTTTCCAAATATCCTCGCAAACGGGCGCGCGTTTCTCTCTCTTTCTTCCGCCAACGACGACGTTAACACGCACAACTACGAAAAAACGAGGAGACGCGAAATCGCGTTGACATTTAGATTGATTACGTTAACCGGCGTGGTGATTAATTGCCGTCGAAAAAATTTCGAAAAGATCGAACCACCACAGACACGCCGCGTGCACGTACGCGACGCACGTAGGTGTGAGTTCCGCCGAAACTACTACACACGCTAACACGCTTTTGGACGCGGCGATTGACAATCATTGTCCGACAGCACCGTCAGAAATCAAATTTGAGGACGTGTCACCCGTTCGACGGGGTTTTCCGCGCTTTCGTACGCGATCTATCCACGGCAAATCTTATTGATTAACGCCACGAATGATGACGGGCGTCCTCGTTAACAGCCTCCGGTATATTAGCATTAGACATATATTTAGCATTTCGAGTGGTGCACTGTCAACAGAACTGCATTACAGTTGACGTGCGTCGTGTGATCACTTGGATGGGTCCAAATATTTCCATAGGCAAATATTTTCGTTGCATGCATTCGAATGCAGCGACACACTGTGCTGTATACTTCAGTACAAACAGTCGAACGCGAAAGATAGTGTATGAAAAGGAATCGGTGTGATAGATGCGCTCGTAATTTTAAATAAAATTACCATTCCTAATCAGATATCAATTTTATCACGCGTTCTAAATTTTTTCCCCGGAATTTTATTAAAAGTTGACGCAAGTTATATCGCGGCTTTTTAATTAAAAAAAAAAAAAAATTATGTCACGCTTCAAATTCCTCGTGTTTTAAATTCCACGAGATACTCGAGACTGTGCAGACGAATTTTAAGATAAATTGTTAAAATGCAAGCGTTTATTGCGTTGTCCGCAAATTTTCTCACTTGCTATCACGAATTTCGTATCATGTCGCGCACGGAGCGCGTCAAAAGCGCGGACACCTATCATCGACCGCGAATGGACTCGCTGAAACTTCCCAATTGTGCCTTATAAGTCTTCCCGCAAGCGCGATGCCCTCCGCAACTTCTAGATAATCCAGATCCGGGTCCGAGAACATCAATCCAGATTGAACTTCGGCTCACTAGTTTAAGCTCAATCATGTATTAGCTTCGAAATGACAAAGACGATAATTCGGATTCTCGAATCTCCGAACTTTTGATTACAAAATGAAAATACGAACTGTCTCGAAAGATTGTCCAGAACGGTTCTCGAACAATGTTAGCGACAATTAGCGGTATTTCACTTTAAAAATGGACTCTAACATGTTACTTGCGACATCGATAGCAAGAAACGATTCAATTCTGCTTTCTATTAGTCATCGTTGGTATCGATAATTTTCAATAGCTTAGATACGCACAAATAACTGGCGGAAAGGCTGATAAATTTTATTGTGTCAGAAGCACAAATATATTCCTAAATGTGCGTATATTAAGCTCACTATGCATTTATACTGTAAAAATGCTCACACACATTGTCAAAGAATTATAGCACTTACATGTATCGCAACAGAACAGCATATCCAAAGTGACGTTCCAAGAGCTTACTCCAAATCCAAGAGAACTATCTGGCTCTTCACGGATGATAATCAAATGAGGGAGCGTTGTCAATTTAAAAAAAAAAAGAAATTAAAGTGCCGAGAACAAAAACGCGGAATAAAAAATACGCAACGTGTAAAAATAATTGATTTGAAAAATTGTTGCTGTGCTATTTAGTTTCGCATTTACTCCGAGCGCTCCCGTTAACGTCGCACGGAATATCGCAGCTGGCTGTCAGTGGCCGAGGTGACAGCGACAGCGTCACGAAGCGGAGCGAGGAACCCGCGCGGCGTTGAACCCATAGAGCCCCGTCACATGACCGCACGGGGAACATGAGCGCGAAAGAAACCCACCGTGTGACGGAACCGAAGCGAGCACGCAGTGACAGTGTCGCGTACAAAGCGGATGACGAAGCGAACGACGTGACGACAGAACGCGGTGGAAAAACGCGTGACGGACGGGATGACGCGTACCGCGGTACCGGAAGCCCGACAGGAGCCAGTGCCCTTGGTGTCCATCGTCGACGTCCGAAAGAGAGACCACCGCGAGAAGCTGGTGTGTGGGAGGGCATCGCTCATCCGTCCGCACCGTCGATGTCGACGTCCCGACACCTTCGCGTTGCACTCGCGTCGAATCCAACAAGTTAAAGCGCTTCTGACGTCAGACGTGCCCTGTGCGCGACCGGGTCAACCCCCGGACACCGCTTTCCTCCGGAAACATCGCTTTCTCCTGGGTTTTTCTCTTCATCTTTTTTCTTCCAAGTGACGAACGAAACGCAAACGACGAGACGGGAACGAAATCACAAAGACGCATCGGTGCGCGCAATTTACGTAACGCACTCGTCCTGAGACGGCGCTCAGGACTCAGGAAGAGAGAGACCTCCTGAGTGGGATGGCAGTTTAAATGCAACTATGCTTTCTCGGGTTTGGGTTGAGCGCGCAGGGTCCGAGTCGGCCGTGTTCGGTGGCTCTCGGCCGCTGTCGGATCTCGTCGATATGCCCATAGACACAGTGTATATGTCTATGGATATGCCGTGCCATGCTACGCTATGCTATGCTGTGCCTGGTTGCCTCTCTCTGTCTCTCCTTCTCTCCCCTTCTCTCTTCTTCCCTTCGCTACCTCATCACTCCGTCCTCATACGTGGCCTCCTTGTTCTTCCATCTTGCTCATCTCTCCTCGTGTTACTTGTGGCTTCTTTGTTCCCTCTTTTTCTCCTTCCCACGTAATCCCCCCTCTCTCTTTCTCTCT